GTGTAGCTTTGGAGCCTGTCCTGGAACTCGCTCTGTAGACCAGGCTGGCCTCAAACTCAGAGATCCACTTGCCTCTTCCTTCCAAGTGCTGGAACTAAAAGTGTGCAACACCACCACCCGGTGTGTTACCTTTTTTTTTGGGGGGGGGAGACACTCTTGAGTTCCTCTGCCCACGAATGCTTGGGGAAAAAAAAAAAAAAAAAAAAAGGACAATTCTCCTGCCTTTGCCTGATGACTGGCCTGTAATATCAGGCTTGGTTATTTTTCTTTTTATGGATTTTAAAAGTATGTGTATGTTACACGTGAGTACAGGGGCTGATGGAGGACAGAAGGGCAAGAATCTGTAGTTAGCAGCCTGTTGTAGGACCGTACTCAGGTCCTCTGCAAGAATAGTATATGCTCTTACCACTGAGCACCTCTCCAGCCCTAGAGCTCATGAGTGACCTTCTCTCCTGGTCCCTTTGCTACTTCCTCACGGAGCCCTTTGGGGCGCCCCGCCAGGTCACAGCAGGCGCACACCGGAGCTGCAACTGACATGGAGGCATGTTTGCTTGCTTCTTCCACTGTGAACTGGGCTCTGGGACTCTGAATTAAATGGGTGGAGAGGACCTAAATAATGCTAAGGCTGCCCAGTTTCCCAGCCTGGTGCGGGTGGGTCGTCTATCTGCAGTCCCAGTACTTGAGAAGGTGGAGACAGGAGAATCAATTCAATGTTACTTTTCAGCTGTCTATGGAGATCCAGGCCAACACTGACTCAACCAAAAAAAAAAAAAAGTCAGCTCCTGGGAATCGCTTCTCTCTTTCCACAGTGTGGGTCCCGGGGCTTGGTGGTAAGTGCCTTGACCCAATGAGCCACCTCGCCAGCCTGGAATTAGGTGAGGGCATTCTGGGTGAGCACAAAAAAGCCAGACATGTCCCCTAGAGCCTTGGACTTGGGTGAATGTGGTTTACACCTGTAATCTCAGCACTCAGGAGGCTGAGGCAGGAGGACTGCACGGAGCACAGAAATCTAGGGCTGGAGATGGTTCGGTGTCCAAGAGTGCACACTGCTTGTACAGAGGGCCAGAATCCTGTCCCCAGCACCAACATCGGATAGGACAGCTCAAGGCTCTTGTAGGTCCAGGGGATCCTCTGCCCTCTTCTGGCCTTCAGAGGTACTGCATGTACCCACAAACACTCATAAAAACCAAAAACAGGGGCTGGGGAGATGACTCGGGTTCAGAAAGCTTGCTGTTCTTGCAGAGGACCCAAGTTCAGTTCATTGGTTGGCTCACAACTGCCTATAAGTCACTCACACTTAGGAGGCAGAAAAATAGGTCTATTTGTCACAAGCCCGAGGCTGCCTGGAGAAGCTTCTCCATCAACCAAACACAGGTCTCTAAGCAGCACCTGGGAGCTGGAGTAGAGAGCACACAATTAACAGGTAAGGCAGATCCAGCATGGATGACTGTGTGTGCACATGGAGTCACACGTGCCAAACACACACACCCACACACACACCAGGGTCTCCTTCTGCAGTCTGAGCTCATCTTAAACTCGAAATCCTCCTGCCTCGGTACACTCAGTCCTAGGATTCCAGGTGTGTGACGTTTCAGGGGTGGGTGACGATGTTTTGGTGGTGGCTTCTTTGGAAGGCAGCCACCTGCCCTTCCTGGGAATACGATCGCAGCAGATGGTAACTGGCTGGTGTGTGTGTGCGTGTGTGTCTGTGTGTCCGTGTCTGTGTGCAGCACAGCGCTGCCCCTAGCTGGCTCCCACAGCCCCTTCATTTCTCTCAGGTCTGTGTTTTATTTTTATTGTACAAGGTTGATTTATTAACTATGGTACATCACATAAGGCCTTTTCATTTTTTTACACCATTCCCATTGAGACAAGTACAATACTTTGTAGCAAATACATGATTTTAAAAAACAAAACCAAACAAAAACACCTCAGCAGAGATGTTCCGGCTGCCAGGATGGCTGCCCATGCACTAAACAGGAGGAAGCCTCAGAAACCCAGGACTTGTTGGAAAAAAAAAAAAAAAAAAAAAAAAAAAGAAGAAGAAAGAAAGAAAAGAAAAAGCAGAAGAAACAAGAATCCTGGATACGAAGCAGACATTCCTGACGCCGACTAGAGAAGTCCTGGTTCCAGCCACCATGACACAGGAAATCACTGTTACACTCGCTTTACAGACAGGGTTCCACTTTCGCTGCAAGACAGAAGTTTGGGCACACGACCAGACTACTAACACACTTCAATACCATTAATGTTTCTGTTGGTCCTCAGGAAACTCAAAATATTTGTTAATCTAAGACATATGAAGATCACTTAACGTGAAAGCACAAGTACCAGAGAAAGAAGGGACTGCAGCACTATTCCAAATTTTCAAACAAGTTTTATTCCCATACAATCCCGAGACGTCTCCTTTGCTTAAAATGTACACAGGAACATGATTCTTTAATGCGAACAATAACTTATGACCTGGGTCCACTACTTGGGTGGCTTCATGGCTGGGGTGATAGCTAAGGAACCATCTAGGGCCTCTAGCCGTGGCCTCTGACGTCCCTCGCTGGTGCGGTCCTGGATGACCCCATGCAAGTGTGGGTGACGTGGAATGGAGAATGACCTCTCCTCGACTGCCACCTGCAGGTGACTTTGGGGAATGGCTGCAGCTGGCCCACTGTTGAGTCTGAGGGGTCTGGGGTGGGGGTGGGGGGTGGGCAGAGCACAAAGAGGATGCAGGCCCTCAGGGATTCCCTCCCATGAGACCAGGGGCGGAGGCACAGGTCACAGGAGGGCTCACCCCCCCCCCACCCGGCTGGCCTGCAAGCTGAGCTGCTCCTATAATATCACCCCCTAGTGGTAGAGACAGTGTGAAGGTTCGAGAAGTCTGCTGCTGCTGCCTGCCTCTGCTGGGGAAAATGGAGAGCATGGAGGCAGACAGCACCAGACATTTTCATGTCCCTTAAAAGGCCAAGATGAGAAGGGTAGGGTAGCTAGTGCAGGACCACAGACCGCCCAGTGTGCACCACAAAACCCCGCCTGGGGAGCTGTGGCGGTGGCAACGGGCTGGGGTCACCTCCCGGGCAGCTTTCCAGGTAGGCAGCAGCTAACCTGGCCACCGCTTTGAGGCCTATGACAGCATGCCCACACAAGCCCTGCCCGAATGCTCTCTTCTGAAGGTCCCCAGGTCGCCTTGCCACGAGTGTCTGGAGAGGCAGGCAGGAGTGAGGTGCTCCAGCCTGGTGCCTGCAAGCAGGGCTCTACTGGCCATTTACCCGCCTCCCTCAGCCTGCCTCCCACTGCTGACATCGCAGTGGGTGCAGGCAGCAGCCTCAGACAGGCACTGTGGCAACTCTGCTCTCGGCAGGGTGGCTCCGCCTCCATCTCTTTCAAGACCCAGCGCAGAAGCTACTGACTGAATGGAAGCCATTTCAAACAGTGTGGGGCTAAGGGCACGAGGTCAGGGCAGGAGACTGTCAGTGACCGTAGTGGACAACACACAGATGCTCCTGCTGACCCCAGGCCTACAGCACCCAACCAGACCCTCTGCAGGGAGCCAACGTTTGCGCATTAACATGCCTGTACCTTGGGTTTGGTCTGGTCTTGGAGGTTTGCAAGCACCTTATGTCCCCAAGTACTAGACACAGGGAGACAGCCAGCCAGCTTCTGCAGGGCAGGGCCCTTGTCCTGCCCTACAGACATAAAGGCAGGGATCCCGGGACACACCCACATGCTATTTCTAAAGTGCAACGGTGGGCCCAGGACAGTGCTGTGCGACCCAAGCCCCTCCTATGCCCAGGGTACCTTAGTGTCGCTTTCATGACCCAGTGCTAAGATCAAAGTAGGAGGCAGAGGTAGGAGCTGACTAGGGCTGCTACACCAGGAGCAGAGCATGGGGAGGCTGCTGGGCTGAGTGGCAGAGCTGGGTCAGTACAGGGTGGTGACAAGCCGGGCACGGTGGCTCTGCCTGAAAACAGGATCCTCTGTGTATAACCAGATGCTCATTTCTGCAAGGTGCCATACCATACCTGCCCATGTCCCAGACACCCCTGCTGGTTACAGCTGCAGCATGGGATGAAATGTCCCCACATTAACACCTATGCCAACCCGGGTGCTGGGTGTACACACCTTTAGTGTTTCTAAATATGTAGTGTTATGGTGTGCGGGTCAGCAGTAGGGTAGGGACCTTGCCAACAGTCCCTCCAAAGGCTCTGTCTTCTCAGGGGGTAGACCTACGGGGGCCCAGTGGGTTTGCAGTCATTGCGCAGGTGTCCTTAACTTTGCTGTCACACACAGACAAGGGGCTTTCTACCCAGTGGCCACCTGGCAAGTGGAAGCGGGAACTTGAGGTCTGTTTTCTTCCCGTGCTTTCTGTCTCTCCATCTCTGTGGAGAGTTCCCATCTTCCTTCCAGTGTTCCTTTGCTGCAGGGAGTGGATCAGAAGCCTGGGAAGGGGCTGGAGGGGAGCCACACTGGGTCTAGACACAAAGCTCTCTTCTTGCTGTGCTGATGGGCCACGCCAGTGCCCCAGTGTGTACCGTGGGGCAGCAGAGCCAGAGCCCACATGTCCCCAAGGACCCCACTGCAGGTGTGTGCAGGTATGGAAATGGGAGGACAAACTGGGAAGCGTCCTCTGTAGAGGGGCCAGCCCCGCTGGGGTATAGCCTCTGCCCCTGGCAGAGGCTGGGATGGTGTCCCGATGATGGGGCCCTGACGCTGGTGCAGGCAGACAGCTTGGGCAAAGGGTCCAGGGAGGGTGCTGGGGCCGACGTCCGGTCAGTTCAGTCCTCAGAGCGGCCCAGGCCGAGGGCAGGGCCCCACAGCTTAGTGCAGCCAGTGCCAGGTGAAGAGCAGGCTGCAGGGTGCTCGACTGCCCAGCCAGGGTGGACGCTGGCTAGTGCCACCACTGAAATCTTTGAAAGGCGCTTGCTTGGCTGCAACCCCCACCTCAGGGGACCTGATTTGTTCAAGGCCAAATGGCACCCTGTCAAGAAGACGATTGGTTTTCCTGCCTCTTGGACCGTGGTGGCTCACAGCGTGTGTTCGGCTTGGAGCTGAGAGGAGAGCAATGGCTGCATTGGGGACTGAGGGGTTGGGGGAGGTGACTGTGGAGGCGACGGCTGACTGGTAGCAGGTGTAGATGTGAGGAAGGGGACAGTGGGAGCCACAGCCGACGGGGAGCCAGGTGCGACCCCCGGAGGCTCGCTGATGGGCCGGTTGTAGAAGAAGAAGGGGCACTGCTGGATGAAGAGCTCGATGATGGTTTGGTAGGAGCGTGTGGCTGTGAGCGCATCCATGCTGCTGAAGTCGGGCCGCATCAGGGTGGGCCAGAAGCAGATGGACAGGTTCTCACTGGTCATAAGGTTCACCTTGTTGTTGTGGCTGACTCTGCAGGGGACAGCAAAGCCAGGTCACATCTGCACAGGGCTTCCCTGACTGCTAGCCCTTGTCTGACCCTGCCACTAGCAACAAGGAGCCACAGGGTCCAGAGGCTGAGTAGACATGCAGGCCCTACATGCCCCTGGAAGGTGCAGTGTACCGACCATCAACCAAAGTGGTGATGACACTTGGGATGGGCAGGGAGTGAGTTAGTGCATGGCTTCAAATACTCCCCGTCTGCCAACGGCCCCACCATGAGTGGACACGCCCTGCTTAAGTGCTTTGCTCACACGGCAGGCTGTTCTGTCCCACAGCACCCCTGATATGTGTTCTGCCTCATGCCAGTATGGAGACACGGACAAGGAGCAGCTCTACGAGCTTGGCATTTCTGTTCCTATCAAGTTTCTGAAGGCACCAGTACCTGCCAGAAAAATTACCTCCAGCCGTGGGCTTGTAGCCAGATCCGGAATGGAAACTAAGGATGCCAAGGGCCCTGGCTATGCTACCGGCCGCTGCAGCAGAGGGCGGGCCCTGCGGACCCCTTCTCCCTCAGTTAACCCAAGATGGCTGTTTATGACGGGGAAAACCTCCCGACAGCATGGAACCTACTTGTTCAGGTGGGAGATGACATATTTGAAGACTTCATGGTTTTCCTTTGGGAATTTCTTCAGCACCTCCTTAAGAGCATGCAACTTCTGTTCTCGGTCGTTGATTTCTGAAGGAGAGAACCAAAGGCTTTTCAGGGCTGAGTTTGGTGGGTGTTCTGGAGGTGTAAAGGAGCTATGAAGCAGCTGCTAGGACCTGTGACCCAAGTGAACTCTGGCAATTCTCTGGGAGGACAGGCCAGGGCTTCTGGGCAGCTCCACCTCACCCTCATGCTCAGAGTCTGCACCCATGGCTGCACACCTGGACTGGGGTCCAGGCCACTTCTATGTCCCAGGCCCCTGCTAAAGGACAGTACTGTATGCTTGGGCTTCCTGCCCCCCTCCTGCCCCACAAGATGAACCATCCACAGACTCTGCCATAAAGAACGCCATTCTTTGCTCCTCGGTTGCCCCTGGAGACAGGCACCCCGATGCAGAAAGACTGCTTGCTTCCTGGCCAGACGGGACGGCACTGCCACCCACCCACACTGACAGACCATGGAAGGAGGGGGTCGGCCACAAGACCAGGGCTCTGTCCGTCCCCGCAGACATGAGGGGCTTTGCACATGGTGCTGCTGGAGGGGCTGATGCAGACAGTGGGTGATTCTTGCGCAGCTCATCAAAGGGACCACATGCCTCTGTGCTCACTGCCGCCTACTGAGGGTTCTAATGTGCTGTGACAGGAAGCATGTCACCCATGCCATGCCAGGTCAGTCATCTCTACAATCTGCTGTTCTGAGGATGGGAAACAAGGAAACAGACAGGAAGTCTGTGGAGCTGGGATTTGAACTGACCAGCTGCAGAGCTGAGCTGAGCTTGGCTCATTTTAACAGGAAGGCATAAAAATGGTCCAGATTCTGCCTAGTGGGACACCTGGCCAGCCCAGATCCCTCTGCACGTGGAAAGAAGTGTCACCACAGTGGGGGCTGACAGCGGCTAGGAGAGTGGCTCCTGGGGACGACTGACCTCAGCTTGACTGCTGGGAATCACAGGGTATAGGTCATCTGGTGACTTCCACTTGTGCAAACATACCTGCACACATACACAACCCCCCAAAACCAAACCCAACCAAACCTACAGTGGCCTTCGTGTGTTTGGGGCACAGCATCCTTGGACAGCACTCCAGCTCTGAACAGCTGGTGGTTTAGACACCACGCCACGCCTCCCAGGTGAAGGGCACATGGGCATGGTGGCATGAACCCCAAATCCCGGCCCTTGGGAAGCTGAAGAGGGAGGATTGTCAGTTTGAGGTCAGCCTAGGCTATGGGATGAGGCCTTGTCTCAACAACAACAACAACAACAACAACAATGCAATAAAATGATTACAGATAGGGTAAGAAAGTCGGCATCCATAACCCGGAAGCTATTTCCAATTGATAACTGCTCACAGGTGAAAAAATGGTTCTCTCTACTGGAGTCTCACTGGGCGTACAAAACACTCTTCAGGGCAGATCGCATGCCCAGAAGTAGATGGCCAACACAAAATGAACTCAATAGCATTTGTTTGTTTGCAAGGCAGGGTTTCTCTGTGTAGCTTTAGAGCCTGGAACTTGCTTTGTAGATCAGGCTGGCCTCTGCCTCCTGAGTGCTGGGATTAAAGGTGCCTGCCACCATGCCTTGTCTCAATGGCATTTTTGGAGGTTGTCTCACAACGCTCTGTCAGTCCCAACAAGCCCTTTGCATATGTTATGATTTCTCATTCTGTGCTTTTATGGGATTTCTGCGTTTCCTGAGTTTATTCTTTGGTTCTTCTGCTAGTTTGTTTCATCCTATTCTGATTGGTTTTTATCTTATTATTATTTTTTAGATGCCTGTTTGTTTTCTAATGAAAGAAATGGTGGGGGAGTGGGGAGAAATTACAATTAAACTATTGCATTAAAAATAAAATCTGGCGGGGGGGCAGGGGTGATGGTGGCGGCGCTTGCTTTTAATCCCAGCACTCAGGAGGCAGAGGAAGGGGGAATCTGTTGAGGCCAGCCTGGTCTACATAGTGAGTTAGTGAGTTTCAGGGCAGCCTGAGCTACATAGTGAGATCCTGTCTCAAAACAAATCTGTTATCACATAGAAGTGAGGTGCAAGCTGCTGGCTACAGTTCAGGGCCCAAACCTGACTCAAACCCTGGTCTGGGCAAGTGGCACCCGAGGGTCACTCAGCCTCCTGGAGCTGCTCTGACCTGCAGGGAACCTGAGCCATGGGAGCTGTCTGCCTGTCTGTTGGAAGATGACTGGAGCCACAGGAATAGAAGTCTGGTTAGCAGAAGGGAGCCCCAGGAGGGAGGATGGGTGACTGCTTAGCAAACGCATGACAACCATGAGCACAGCTCACTTTCACTTACTGGAAGTAGTGCCCCCCCAGATGTAAGCATGCCCAGTGACACAAACACAGCTGTGTCCCTTTTCATCACACACCTGTGTAGCAGCATCTCAGACAGCAGTCTCACTCAGGGAAGGGCCCTGGCCTTCCCACCTGAGGATCAGCAGAGCAGCAGTGGTGGGCGTTTCCTTTCTTTCTGACCTGTATTCCCTCCCTTCCCACCTGTGCGAGTCTGCTGGGTCCCTGCACTCACTAATGCTGGGGAGGGTTACAGGGAGCTAGAGTCTTTCTTGCCAAGCTTGGCCCTGAGCCCATGACACTAAAGCAAGGCTGATGCAACCCCTCCCCCACGCCTTTAAGGTGCTGGGGGTGGAACCTAGGACCTAGGCAAGCAGTTCACCAAGCCCAATCCAATCCACCACTGCCCTTTTTATTTTGCCCATGCTCTCCTTAGTCAGTATCTAGCATGAAACTCCTCCTGTGGAGGAGGCTCAAACCAAACCATATCCAATCAGAAAGAAGTTGGTTTGAGCCATAACTGCCATGCTACCGTTGTACTAATGGACACACCTTGCCAGGCAGGGTGGTATTATAATGTGCAGGGTTGAGCACTGGGTAAAAATATTGATGTCTTTCTCCCACAGCAGCCTGCAAAGCACCTTATAGGACTACGTAGGCTAGTCATCAGAGAGTTTTCTGCTCAGTTGAGGTTCAGCAGTAGGATCTTACTGAGTTATGGTGGGCAACCACGCATCATGGTAATACCCTCTGGGGTTCAGGGCTCCTTCCTGATAACTAGTAGGGAGGTATCCCATGCCTGGCAATGACATTTCATTTATTATCCTCTGTCTTTCTGGGAGACAGAAGATGCTTACATCTGCATGGTGTCACAGGGACACCCTAGGGACATTTCCAAGATGCTCTCTATGCATTCCTCAGTAGGAATTCAGGCAAAGAGCGGGGTTGGACCTCGGCACTGCTCTCTGCTCTAGACCCCTGTCATGTCCTGGAGCCAGTGAATGGAGTGGGGTGGGGCCATGAGCAGGCTCTCAGGGCCCAGACAGACCAAGGCGAGATCTACACACACACGATGCAACTGGTAACAGCTGAGTCTTCAGGATCTCTTCCCAAAGGAGGAGGAGAGGGAAGTCAGGACAATCAGGGACCTTACAAACACCCTCAAATCCTAACACGGGGGAAGCTGGGACAGGAGAATGCAGAGTTTGAGGACAGCTTGGACTATAGAATGAGACCTTACCTCAAAACAAAACATAAATCCCAAACCAAACAAGCAAAACCCCAGACTAACTGGGCGTTGGTGGCGCACACCTTTAATCTCAGCACTTGTGAGGCAGAGGCAGGCGGATCTCTGAGTTAAAGGCCAGCCTGGTCTACAGAGTGAGTTCCAGGAGTGCCAGGACTACAAGAGAAACCCTGTCTTGAAAAACCAAACCAAACTAATCCAACAAATAAAAACACAACAACTGCAACTCTAAACTAAGGAAAACAAAAAGGTACAAGAACTGGCTCTGGCCATAAATCCTGGCAAGGACTCTGACCCTACTGTCCCCCAACCTGGCTGCTTACTGCAAGCCGAGTTCCAGGCCCTCAGTGCCTAGACCGGCAGCTGCTTTCCCTCTGCAGAGTTATACTACTACGAAAGGAGAAAGCTGGACAGAGGCTTGGCAATGTAGGCAAGCCCCAGGTGTGTCCCTGTCTTCCTCCCGTGTGGCACATAAGGTTATGGTTAAGGCCAGGCTGGGACCACCGTCTGCTTGGCTTAGTATGGAAAATTCAGATTACTCTGGAGGCATGATCATGCAGCAAGCTGGGCAGTGTCCCTCTCCACCAGACTGCAGCTGGAACCCTATTCTGTCTGTCACTGTCACCTGCCTCTCAGGACACAGCATCTCTGAGCTGCTATGTGCACAGACAAGAGAAAACAACATCCTGAGGTCATATGGCAACAAGAGCCTACAGGGTGGTGAGGGCCACCCACCCCACAACCTTAGCTGCCTCATCTGCCTAATGGGAAAGGTAGATGATAAGCCTGCATTGAGATCAATTTCCCTTGGATGACCACATGCTGGCAGCCACAGGTCCTTGGCCTGGAATCCTGTACCCAGAGTGGACCTAGCTCCGGGACACCTGCCAGTACAGAAGCCACAGGCAGCCTGTGGGGCCCAGGTGGCCTAGAGGGGCTCTGGACAGGGAAGGGATTGGTGGTGCTGGAGAAGGGCAGAGAAGAAGACCCTGTGGTCTGGGAACAAGCTCTGGTTAGGATGAGGGGAAGAAGAGAGGGAATTACAGAGCCCCACTTGCTGCCTTACAACTCCAGCCCTTGAAGCCAGGGCTCCTCACTACTTCCCGCCTCCCCCCACCACGGAGCTTTCTGCATTTGCAGCTCAGCTTGCTTGAGTCTGTCTACGGAGAACATCAGCTTCCACCCAGGGAAAGCAGGGACTCAAGTTCCAGCTTGCCAGTCCCCAGCCGTGTGACCTGGGCTTCGAGCCAAGCTGTGTCACTCTGAGAGCCTCCGGCTCCTCTGTACCATGGAGAGACACTCCTCTACCTCGCTGGTGACTAAGAGCACACCAACACCCAGCAGAGCCTGTGCACACAGCAAGCAACAACCTGAGCTGTCTTGGTTACCTTGACTAAGCTGGGAAGACAGCGGGCAAACGCGCACAGACTCCACTCGGTGGGCACTCGCCAGCAGTGGTCAGCTCGTGACATTCTGATGCTCCCACGACAACCACACAATGACCTTCACCATGTGGTGGGAGGGTGGAAGCGCACACAAGCCTGAACACACGGACACAGCTACTCTGAGGGTAAGTGAAAAGAGCGGCTGAGCTGCTGTTGCCATGGAAACCCGTGCTGCTCTAAGGCTCAGCAGGCTTTCTTCTACCTTTCCTCTTGACACAACTTTTTCCCTGCCTGGCATCTGACTCAGCCAAGCACACCCTGAACACTGGGCTGCACCTGCTGCCGCTGCTGTGCAGTGCCACGTCCGTGAGACCCCCTCCTCCCTACCCTTCTGTCAGGCTGTCAAGTCAAGAAAGCAGGACAAGAGGTGGCCCGGCACACAATGGAGAGGAAGCTACACGACTCCACCCTTCCCAGGCTGCTGTGCAGCCACCTTCTGAGCTGGGAACTCAGTGTGGGTGGCGGAAGCGATGGGAGGAAGGGACGTGGACCCCTATCAGCAGCACCCTCTCCTGGCCCTCCCCACAAAAAGGTGCCATGTCTGCTGTTCCAACAACAATGGCATTCTGTTGGGTGCCAGTACTCAACATGCCTCTAGATGGCGCCAGGTCAAGACAAATGTGAGAGCTGGGTCTTCAGCTGGGTACCAACCAGTGCACACCTCCTGAACCTCCTCCAAGGTTCCTTGGAAACATAGCATGAGCCTGAGATGGTCCCCACTGTAAGTGCTGCCGCCCAGCCCTGGTAGGTGGGCAAAACGGAGAGGCTGAGCCCTGCACCCTGCACAGCTGGACCCAGGAACAGGAGCCATTTGACCTATAACCAACCTCCCCACCGCCTTGAGAGTAACCGCTGGAGTCAGGCAGTGATGAGCTAGCCCAGGACCATACTTCCCCTTTTTGTGCCTCATCTCTTTCTTGGCACTCAGCAAGGCCTGCCTGGCTCCCCCTTCCCTCCCTCTCCCCCTTCTGCAGGGTATCTTATTATGTATTTTGGCTGTCCTGGAACTCACAATATAGACCAGGCTGGCCTTGAGCCTTTCAGCGACTGTGGTGGAATTGCTGCTTCTGGGCCTTCTCCCTCTTCCCCTGCAAGGGCAGAGGCTTCCTTTGGCTAAATAATAAGTGCCCGTCTGTGGGGCAGCTCCAAGAGGCCAGGTCCTTCATGGTACACGCCATACCCAGACAATGAGAAAGCCTCCCACACAGTGATTATCCTAGAGCAGCGGTCCTCAACTCTCCTAGCGCTGTGGCCCTTTAATACAGTTCCTCAGGTGGCGGTGACCCCAACCACAACATTATTTTTGTTGCCACTTCATAACTGTAATTTGGCTACTGTTATGAAACCCTCATGAAAGGGTTGTCTGACCCCAAAAGGGTCATGAACCACAGATGGAGAGCTGCTGCCCTAGAGACTGCCATTAAGACTATAGAGGTTCTAAGTCAGGCATGTAGCACATGCAGCAACGACACACAAGACACTACCTCAAATAAACAACAAAAACATCCTGCAGGTCTTATGGGTTGCAGAGCCCTGGGCCTGCCAACTAAGGCCGCTGAGAGTTTGTTACCCCCACCAATTTTCTTCTTTAAAAAAAAATTACCTTTTTAGATTTATTAATTTTATTTTGTGTTTCACCCACATGCATGTTTGTACACCATATGCTTGCCTGGCATCCTCAGATTCCCTAAAACAGGAGTATGGATGGTTGTGAGCCATCATGTGGGTACTGGAACCTGAACCTGGTCCACTGGAATGGCAGCCTGTGCTCTTAAGCGCTGAGCCATCTCTTCAGCTCCAGAGGTAACTTTCTGGGTTTGTATGGCCTCAGCTGCTGGGTTTGCTGCCTTGTGTGAGGCAGAAGAAAGAAAAGGGTCCAGGATAACCTGCTTCCGAACAGCAGGTCCAGCTTTACCCCAAGAAGCAAACTTAGGGCAGACTTGGGAGATCAGGCATAGCAGAGGGTCAGGGACGACAGCACGTCAGACGCCAGGTTCAGGGACCTGCAGCTGCTGTCGGGGAACACTATTTTAAGGTGTGTTACTTTTGTTTATGTTGCATTTGGTTAACTCTGTGAAGCTGTGATTCTTTGCCTGATGGTCTAATAAAGGGCTGAGTGGTTAATAGTAAGGCAGGAGAGATGAATAGGCAGGGCTGGCAGGCAGAGAGGATAAACATGAGGAGAAATCTGGGGAAGAAAGCATCTGGGAATGAGAAAGGAACAAGAAGAACAAGGAGAACAGGACATCAGGGGCCAGCCACCCAGTTAGATATGGAGTAAGAATGGAAGTAAGATCTACAGAAGTAAGAGGAAGATAAACGCCCAGAGGCAAAAGATAGATAGATGGGTTAACTTAAAAGAGAGCTGGCAGGAAACAAGCCAAGCTATGGCTGCAGCCTCTTCCTAGCTGTCTGTACTCACTGTGGGCCTCCACCAGGTCAATCTGCATGCTGTATGGTACCAGGGGGTCTGGGAGCTCAGAGAAGAAGCTCTTCATGGCGCCTGCCACAGTGTTCACGGTGAAGTCTTTCTCTGCCAGGTCCAGATTGTGGTCTGAAAGCAAGAAGTGAGGCCAGACTCATCTAAGCCACAGGAGGCTTCTAGATGCTGCCCAGGGTAGGGACAACAGAGCAGCTGGCAGCTGGGCTCAGACGTGACTGGAGAGGTTTCCTCCAGTCCGCCAGGTCCCCTGCTCACCCCACTGGGTTCTGATGAGCTTCAGCTTTTCCCTACTTCCCTTCCTGCCAGCCATGCAGTCACTGCCTCAGCGAAATCATGATGGAGGAGGAAGCATCCCCCGTTTTCTTCTCCCCTGGTCCCCCCAGCCCACGGCCCCTCTCCCCAGGTCCCCCCAGCCCACGGCCCCTCTCCCCAGGTCCCCCCAGCCCACGGCCCCTCTCCCCAGGTCCCCCCAGCCCACGGCCCCTCTCCCCAGGTCCCCCCCAGCCCACGGCCCCTCTGACCCCTCTTTCTTATCTCCCCTCTCTCTTCAGCCTCAATGCATGCTTGATTCCGTAGGACTTGTCTACAAATGGACACCAAGTGCCCCTTTCTGGACTACAGCTATTCGGATTCTTACAGGTACAGTCATGTACCACAAAACCACTTTGGTCAGCAAAGGCCCTGAGATAATTCCATGTGGCTTATTGTAAGCGTACTATCTGACACTTGCCCGGTGAAGCTGTGTTTTTTTTAAGGACATATTTCTGATGTTCATATGGTGGCATATGATTACAAGGTATCACTGTCAGCTGGCACATGACAACTGGTGAGTTGGCTGCTTCAGAAATTGGCCCTCCTGTCCCCTCCACTTCACCCACTCTCTGGCTAATGAGAGCCGAGAATATTCACTGTTCTGCTCTGGCCTGGTGGCATGGGTTGGCAATCAGAGTGGGCATTTCTAACATTAAGGGCTGAGTCTCTAGCTGGGAGTCTTTCACACTTGACTTAACTTAGAAGCAGGGCATACACCCAAAGCTGGTGTGACTAACATTTCAGCTTGGGAGCTCAAGTCCAGTGCCTGAATTATTTTGAAATGTTGTTGATATAGACACTTCTGGACTGTCAAAAGATACTGGATCATTAATTCAAATGCTACCACCCCTGGCTCTAGCCCAAGGAGGCAAGGCCCTCCCAGAAGTGAGGCAGGGCCAGGAACAGCCTTGTCAGGGACGCTACATTGGTAGACCTGGTCCCCCATGGGTCAGGAGACCCATGTGACCTCTGTCTCTGAGCCGGTACCTCTTGGCTCAGGCTCAGGTTTATGGGTGGCAGGAGTACCCAGGCCTTCCTGGCATCCAGCCACGGCATCTGCTTTGGACTATGATACACAGCAGGCTGTGACTCACCTTGATCGAACTGTCTTTGCAGACTTTCCATCTCTGACTTGTTCCCGCTGACCCGGTAGATGCCCTCAGTGCTCAGTCCTGTGAAAAACAAGCAGGTCCTATGAACCAGAGCTGGGGAGCAGAGGGACAGGGGCTGGCTGGGGAGACCAGGTTCCCGCCAAGATGGAGGAGCAGGGTAGCTTTCTTGTTTGGAGTTTCTTTTAAAAATACTGCGGGACGTGGCCTCACCCTCCTTTCCTTTAAAGGTAAGGGCTCACCTAGTGCAGGCTGGCCTTGAACACCTCATCCTCTTGCCTCCAGTTTCCAAGTGACAGAACTGCAGATGTTTGCTACTTCATTTGGCTTAGTATCTGCTGGAACTTGATATGCAGACCAGGCTAGCCTCAAATACCAGAGATCCACCTGCTCCTACTTCCTGAGTGCGCATCATCCGCATTCAGTGCAATCTTGAGTATTTTACTAATATATACGTGTGTGTGTGTGTGTGTGTGTGTGTGTGTGTGTGTATTCATTCTGAGATTTCTGCCTGGGTATATGCCTAGTACCAATGAAGGCCATTCAAAGGTGCTAGAAACTTGACTCAGGTCCTCTGGAAGAGCAGCCAGTGCTATTAACTGCTGAGTCATATCTCTCCAGCCCCTTTATCCCCTTTTTAGGAGGGACATTCAAGACAGGGTTTCTCTGTGTAAGAGTCCGGATATCCTAGCTGGGTGGTGGTGGCGCACACCTTTAATCCCAATACCCGGGAGGCAGAGGCAGGAGGATCTTTGTGAATTGGAGACCATCCTGGTGTACAGACTGAGTTCTAGGATAACCAAGGCTACACAGAAACCCTGTCTCGAAAAACCAAAAAAGAGTCAGGCTATCCTGGAACTAGCTCTGGAGATCAGGCTAAACTCAAACTCACACAGACCAGCCTGCCTCTGCTTCCCAGGGGCTGGGATTAAAGGTGGGTGCCGCCACCACCAGGCCCAAACAAAAATAGCCCCTAAAAACCTTAGCTTCATAGTTTGTGTATATGTCACGTGAGAGCAGTGCCCTCAGCATACAGAAGAAGAACACATGCCCTGGAGCTGGAGTTACAGCAGTTATGAGCTGTCTGAACTCAGGTCCTCTGGAGCCACTGAACTGATTCTTCAGCCTGAGTGTGTTTCTGCTAAAGATAAAAAGCCAGGCATGGTGGTACGTACTTGCAGTCCTAAAAGGTAGGGACAGAGCAAGGTTCGAGGCTGGTCAGGGTTACACACTGCGTTCTAAGTCTCCATGGGTGACAGAGTGAGACACTGTCTCAGAGAGCCAAAGAGGGACAATGGCGCTGCCAAGGATGACAGTCTGAGGTTCTTCTTTCGGACAGGGTTTCTCTGTGTAGCCCTGGCTGTCCTGGAACATGGTCTATAGACCAGATTGGCCTTGAACTCAGAACTATGCCTGACTCTGCCTCCTGAATGCTGGTATTAAAGGTGCGCACCGCCACCACCCAGTAACAGCTTGGGTTTAATCCCTGGAGCCCAGTCAGTGGAAGGAGACACTCTTATCTCCAATCCCAACAAATAAAGAAGAAGGCTGGAAGCGCGGCTCTGTGCTGGCCATTTGCCTGCTGGGAGCGGGTTTCTGTCCTAGTTCCAGAGCCACAGGAAGCAGAAAGGAAGGTGCAGTCTGTCCACCTCAGCTGCTGTGATGCAGCCTACTCAACAAGCTTTTCTGGACCCCTAAGAATGAAGAAAACTGTCCCTTCTTTCACACAGAGCACCCTGTGAACTTTTCCTACATAACTTAGTGTGTTCATGTTTTTATAATCTAGCTCTGAGGAGCTAGAGTACAGCTCAGTGGTAGAGCACCTGCCCTGGTTTGATCTCCAGCACCACAAAAACCAAAACACACAACAACAATGTCCCATGCCAGATCCCAGTATCCACGATGACTCCAGAAACAGTTCTACCCTTGTTTAGGTTCTCCCAGGCGTTTAAGGGCAGGGACCTTAAGTGGCCTTTCCTGGTGTTTCCAAAGCACTGGAAGGAGCCACCCGGGGATGCCTTGTGCCTCTCCCACGAGAAGCCCATGCCCCAGTCTAGGTCTATTTCTTACTATTCATGCTGCTGATTTCCCTCTGCAGTGCCTATCACTGAACGTGAAAGAGGTCTTTAAGTATTAAATGTCTGCTTTCTCGCCCCCTTTTCTACTACTTTTTTCAAAAAAGAAAATATTTATTTTTCATCCATCTTCTTTTCTTTTACTCAAGGGTCTGCAGAACAGCTCTGTTCTAACTTATTCAGTGGCCTGAGCAATGGCAGCCCCAGATGAGTCTCAGTGGTGGCAGCACCTGTCCAGGGTCAGATCCGGTGTGGTCCGTCACACCAAAATTCTTCCCTTGGTCACAGCCGTTCAGCTCTGCTCCTCCCCCTCCGACTTCTTCAGGATCTCCGCAGAGGTAGAATCAGGCATAATCTCCCACGGTTGCTCACGGGAGCCAGTTCCACACGTGTATAGAACTTCTGGGGCCACTGACCACCACACCAGGACCACTGAGTGGGCTCTCTTGTTGCCTGGATTCTCCGCACAGCAGAATCTGTGTCACACAGAATGAAGGCAGACAGACTGATGCAAGACCACCTCAGCGAGGGACAGGTAGTCGGCCCTGGGATCTGTCACCACCAGAAGTCGTGGCTTCTTGAAGTTCCTGGAAGCGGCTAGGATCTGGTAAATCAAGGACATGGAGTCAAGTAGCCGGCATTCTTGGAGATGACGCTGACGCCAGAGCTTCTCCTATCACCTTTCCTTTTGTAGACTGTTCCAGCCGGAAGCCAAGGTTGCTGCCACCAGCTGGGTTCCTGCTGTAAGGAATTTAAGGAAAGGCTCCTCCACCCTTTGCAGGGCATCGGATAATCTGGAAATAGTGTGAATTTTTAAAAATTAAGACAGGAATCAAGAACATCATTGATCCAGGCATGGCGGTGCACACCTTTAATCCCGGCACTCCGTAGGCTGAGGCAGGTGGATGTCTCTGAGTTCAAGGCCACCCAGGGCTACACGAGGTTGAGTCAGTCTAAGAGAGTAAAGTAACAGAGCTCACGCCTTTAATCCCCACTAGCGGGTACAAAAGACAGAAGCAGGGTCTTCAGTATTTAGTAGCAGGTGTTCCTTCTCCAGCCAGGCTGAGGAGAGGCAGCAGGGTCAGCCCATTCAGCCTGAGGTAGAGTGAGAGCTGGTGGCCCGCTACTTTTCTTTTCTGTTCTTCAGCTGGAAGTTTGAACCCCATTATCAGTCACTGGATCTTTTAGTTATTGTGTTACAGGCAACAACAAGCAAACAAAAATTCCTATGTCTGTGTTTGGGTTTGTGCATGGGAGTGCAGGTGTCTTCCGAGGTCACAAACGTCTGTCCTTTGAAGCTGTTAGCCACATGGCGTGAGTGTGGCTGACAATCAAACTGGTGTCACCACAGGCCTTCTACTTGGTAGGCAGAATCTCCACCAACTGAGCTACATCTCCAGCTGTTAATAAAAACAACACCGCTGCTAACGACAGCGATGGCGTCTCTCGTAGCCCCGTCTCACGGTTAGTCTGTCTTTTGCCTCCTCCACCTCATTGGGATTTTGGGCACATGTCATTATGGTGCTTTTAGTAATTTGTATGATGACTTGAAAATGTTCTCAGCCACATTGAACCTTTCTACCCGTTTCACCTGTTAGGTGACACATCACAAGTGTACAGATGGAACAGGACATATGCTGACAAGCCCCGGTATGTGCCTCAAGTTTCCAGCTTTCATGACCTAGTCTGAAAACATTTTCTAAGCTCTCTTCCTTGTCCCTAAATATCAGCCCCCTTTACGTGGTGATACGACGGACTCCTATGTCCCAGGATGGAAAGGCACGCTTGGCAACAGCCTCCTCGGGGTCAGGCATCCCTGTCCTCTGCACAACAAACAACACATTGGCTGTCTGAAAACGAACCAGGGTCTGGCTGCTGCTCACTACAGGATCATCACAGGATGGCACATCTGAGAATAAGAGGCTAGCTCCAGAACATCAATTAATCATCAGCTTAGCATTTCCCGTAAGCGGCCTGCCTGTTTGTTTTACCAAACCCCATGTTAGAACAGCAACCCTACTGCTGTTGTACCCGACGCCATGGCATAATTTAGGAAAGGTATCATTAGCCTAGCGGGCACAATTTATTACAACTACCACTTAGAATCAATTAAAAACAAACAGCACAGGAAGCTGACTGTGCCTATCATGATGGCTAAAGTGACTGGTGGGGGGCTGACAGGATGCTGTACAGAGCAGGGCCACTTGACAAGGGGCCTAAACCACACAGGACAGAGGGGACCAGGATCCAGCAGGGCACGCCAGGGTTATCATAAACATGGGCAGACAATTCTAGGGACTAGCTCACACATGCCAGCAGGGCCCCCACCAGGAGAGGCTGGTATGCACTGTGTCAATCTACCAGAGAGCAACGGGACACGGAGGCACCCTGCCTACCATAAGTCTCCAAAGAACCCCTCTACTTTCAGGCAACCTCACCCAGCAGCCTCTACCTGTTTGAAGCATTTTCTCTGGGGGCTGGCTGTGCAACCAATCTAGCTAAAACGGGAAGTTCCAGATTCAGTGAAACCTGGTTTCAAAAAATGAGAGCCAAGTGAGAAAGATACCTGATGTGCTAACCTCTGGCCTCAGCACGAGTAAGTTGTACATTCCTACACACACACACACACACACACACACACACACACACACACACACACACACAATGAGAGAGTGGCCAATGTTACTATTTTCAAATATCAGGACATGCAGGACAATCTTGTTTCAATGGCTCTAGGGAGCAGAGATGTGACTAAGAATGGAAATTACAGGATGGCAAATATTCTCTCAATACATAAAATAACTATTAATAGTCATTGATGCCATTTAAAGAATGGTCCAGAACTTCTCATTTCCCTCCTTAGTGGATAAGTATCTGTCTGGGATGCTGTTTAAGATTAGTATCTGGCCCAGGGAGGCCAGACCCAACATTACCCAACATTAATGAGCCATGTGCTAAGTGCTCACTCAGAATCAGGCCAGGTGTTCAGTGCTGGGTATGTGTCTGCACAGTTCTTACAACAACTCCTTAAGGCAGGCTGCCTCCCGTCCCACTGCCCGGATGGGAGCGCTGACATGAACAGATGAAGTAACACACACAAGGTGGAGAGCTTTCACAGACATGACCTTCATTAACCCTGCTGTGTTCTACCGTTCCGGTAGTGTATTGTAACACACTCTGGCTCTCCAGTTTTTGAAATGCAGCCCAGCATCAAGTGCAGGGGAGGGGGCTTGTATACAACTGGCTCCAGTGACTCGGTTCACTCTGGAGGGGAACAACACATTCCTAAATGTGGCTCTAGAAGACAGCCTAGAATTCAGAATTTCTCCACTACCTAGAGTCCTGAGTATCAATGAAACAAGGGGGCAATACAGGCAAAACAGAAAGATGTTTTAGGAATAAACTTGTCCTGGAAATGCTGTGACTGCTTTAAAAAAAAAAAAAAAATACTTTAAACTGTGTATGTCCGTGCATATGCGTGCAGGTGACCCAAGGCTGGGTGTTGGGTCCCCTGGAGCTAGAGTTACGAACAGTTTTGAGCCACCCAATGTGAGTGCTGGAAACCAAAACCGCCTCTGGAAAAGCAGCCCATACTCTTGACCATCACTTAAGCCATCTTTCCAGCTACTCACAATTGCTTTTTCTATGTAGCTGACCATGTAACCATGGTCACATATGGTGTTGATTAAAAAACAAAAAAAGCAAGCCAAGGGTGGATGTGGTGGTATACCCCTATAATATCAGCACTCCAGAGACGGCCAGATCTCCATGAGTTTGAGGCCAGCCTCCTCTACATAGTGCACTCTGTCTTGACTGCTGTCCACACTCCAGAACAGGCAAAAGCAACATCTATTCCTTCTTTCAGTAGATTACTATTGCTTTTTGTCCTTTTGGTTATGACCAAGTATGACATCATGGGCTTACTAAGTGTGCAGATGACAGGCAAGCTACTGTACAGAGTTTTTAGGCTTACTTAAAACTACTTTGACTATGAATGGCCCATTTCTCACTCTTCAACATTGAGTTCCCGAGAGGCCAGTGGCTCTCAATTTCCCCCTAACCCACACAGGGTTTTCCTCTACAGCCTTAGCGAGCATGGAACCTACAGAGATCCAATCGCCTCTGCCTCCGGAGTGTTCGGACTAGAGGACGGATATACCACCACGTCCAGGTTTATGGCAAAAATTTAATATCCAGACGAGCTTCTCTCTCCCCACTGGCAGCAGTCTGGCAGAAGTAAGGCTGTGCCACTGTTCCTGTATAACCACCACTCGGTTCTTCTCATTTTCTTTTTTAGCAGTGAATCAATACTTCCTCTGAGACAAATTTGGAGTTGCTTATGTTTTTATTTCTATATTTGGATATAAAAAAACCATCAGCACTTTAGCGTTATTTTTCTCCCTCTGAAGTAACTGATGCTGCTAGCGTGTTAAAATCCCATACTCTGGCAGGATGGACAGCAAGCGATACTCAGGCTGGCTCTCTGGAGCAGGAGCAGCAGCGTGCCTTTGGGGCACATGCCCACAGTCTGCCACCGTGCACCTCCTGCAGAGACTCTGCTGCCATCACCGTACCAAACAGGCTATGGGGTGGTGAAGGTCCCCTCCTCTGAGCCTGGACGCATGTCTGTGTGCCATGAATGTGCAGCACCCTTGGTCCAAAAGATGGTGTCAGATTCCTGGGACTGATGGGACAGATGGTTGTGGGCCATCGTATGAGTGTTGGGAAGTGGGACCAGGTCTCCTGCCAAAGCAGAAACATCTCTGAATCATGGAACCATCTCTCTAGCCCTGTAGCCTGCACTCTTAACAAGCCTCAAGAGTCTGTCTGCAGACATGACCTGCACTTTGAAACAGCAGAAAGCACTCAGAAACACTTGGTACCTGGGTGGGTGGCGGCGGCACAAACCTTTAATCCCAGTACTCAGGAGGTAGAAGGCAGGTGGACCTCTGTGAGTTCAATGCCAGCCTGGTCTATATACGGAGTCCCAGGCCAGCCAGGGTTTCATAGTGAGATCTTTTCTCACAAGCATCCATCCAATGGAAAAAAAAAAAAAAAAAAAAAAAAAAAAAAAACAAACAAACCCACACACGCGTTCTCACTTCAGCAGCACGCATATTAAAATGGAACAATACAAAGAAGATAGTATGGCCTCTGTAAAAGTATGACACAAATTTATGACATGCTCCAACATTAACTAACACCCCCCCCCCAAACACACACATTTGGCTCTGCCTTACAGCTGAGCTGGGCGGCTAAGAACAAACTGTGTATCCTCTGAGGCTAGAAATTGTCACAAAAATAAAAATTAATTGTATCATTAGTTCATCTGTTAAGAAGGTGTGGACACACACCTTTTAGTCCCAGTACTTGGGAGGAAGAGGCAGGCAGATCTCTGTGAGTTCAAGGTCAGCCTGATCTACAGAGTGAGATCTAAGACAGCAGGGCTACACAGTGAAACCCTATTGCACGCGTGAGTGTGTGCGTGTGAGTATGTGTGTGCGTGTGTGAATGTGTGAGTGTGTGTGTATGTGTGTGTGAGAGAGAGAACATTAAGATTATGTAAATCAAAGGCATACTGAAATGATACCAAAATGTCAGTAACAATCACAGTGAAGATTACCATGGCCCAGACACTGTACTAAGTCTTTATTAGAAGCAGAGTGCCAAACCCTTCCACCAACTGACACAGATGACTGCTGTTGTCACTGGTTTGTAAGGCAGGAAGGTTTTCCTTTGGTTCATAGTTTTGTGATGGGATCAGTCTGTGGTCTCATGAATGTGGAGGAGTTGAGTTACGTTGTGGACGGTCAGGAAGCACAAAGTGGTAGTAGATTTCTGTTTTATTTTTGTTTTTTAAAGAAAGAGTTTCATGTAGCCTAACCTAGCTTTAAACTTTTTATGTAACAGAAGATGACCTTAAATTCCTGATCCTCCTGCCTCTACCTTCCAAATGCTGGATTCACGGATAAGCTCTAACACACACACACACACACACACACACACACACCTTAGACACTCTTTTATTTCGTTTTACAGAGCAATGGAATAGTCAGAGGCCAGACTGTTTGCCCAAGGTCACAGAGCTGGCTGGGTGATGGAGCTGGGATGTGGCGCATTAATCTGGTTGCACAAACAGAGCGCGGAGGTGTAATGCTATACCCAAAGGGGCCAGGCTCCCCTTCCCCACTTCCACCTCGGGGACCCACCTGCACCCAAGGGAACAGTGTTCCCGGACAGCCCTTCTCCCCAGCCAGGCCTGCTCGGGAGGCTCCCTGCTGTAGTACTCCTCCAAAGGTCAGCAGGAATCCCACTTGGCATGTCCTACTGGGCTCCCACTGCCTTTCTGCCTCCTGTGCAACCTGAGTTGCTTGGCTCCCCCAAGGTCCCTGTCATTTGTTCCCTGACGGAGTGCTACACACACTGTATTATGACAAGCCTTGTTATCAGCTGGACGGTAGGCAGTGTGACTATGCATTTCCTGTGACACAGTCCATCTGCACAGCACGCCATCAATCCCAGGGTTGACTGGGGAGGAAGGGCAGGGTGATATGGAGGAGAAGACACAAAGTCCTCACCAAGTTTGTGTATCGCATGGCTCAGGCATCTGGCTGGGCTTGCTATGAACTATCCAAGAGCAGGGCTTCTGGATGTGACTCTCAGCTCTCCGGATGTCCCAGGCCAGCAGTGTGAAAGGGGTATAACCCACAGTGGAGGCAAGCACACTTCTCTCTGAGGACAGGAATCAAAGTCCCCAGCCAGGACACTCAGAGAGCCCTCCTGTCAAGAATATGAGGTGTGGCCTCACTGAGTGACCCTATCAGTGTACCTACCAACCTGGTGACACAGCGGTGGCACCGGTGTGGCCATGAGCGGAGCTGGCGCACCACTCCAAGGGAATTCATGGCGGGACAAAGCTGTCAAAGCCAGTGTCTAGTGCCTGGCTGCAATGAGTCACGACACCACTGCACTCTGCCTCTACACAGGGTGCCAGAGCTCCCCAGAGCAGCCAGGCGGAACAGCACCTCGAGGCCACAGGCACGCCTCTCCAGTGCTGCAAGGTGGACCATGAAAGGAATCAACAGTCGCCAACCACAGCCCTGGCCTCTAAGGAGCGCCTTTTATAGTCAGAGAAGCCTCTGGGGCAAAAGCAGGTCCCAGGCCCTGGAATCCAAAAAACAAAACAAAAGCAAAAAACAAACAAACAACCCCAACTTGTCTGTATGTGGCTGGGGAGGGTACTGTCACCTGACTTTATTCCATTGCTCACAGACTTTCTATGAACACTCCTTTTTCCCTTCGATACTTCAGTTAATTCTTGGTGGCTAGACTTAAGAAAAAAGTTCTCTGCTATGATAACATCACCTCCAAGGTGTGGCACCCATTAACCCTGGGGCCAAACCAGACACTTCCTTTACAACTGTCCAGAGTTCCAGGATAAGAGAAAGAGCAGAGCATGCACAAACAGGGCAGAGCTGGAGAGGAGTGGCAGCCCAGACCACAGCCACATCTACAAGCTGGGGCCCAGGGTCCCCGCCCTCCTCAAGCCACTAGCACGTTCTGATGGTGGCGTTCAGCACGTCCCAGTACCTAGAAAAGGCTCAGTGGCTTCGAGAGGACAGAGGGGCTCACATGAAGGGTTCTGGGGCAACAAGAAGGAAGTGGTGGGCGGCAGCAGGCCATTCCATCAGCCTCCATGTCTCCTACACATGCACGTGCAGCCTCCACCTTGCCCACAGGCCTTCCTGCCTCCCCGAATCTAATGTTCCCATTAGTTCACTGCAGCTGCCATTTTCTGCCCCCACCCCACCCCCCATTTTTAAACTTATTCAGCACAAGGCCATGGCTTGTTTGTATCTGGGATGTCCCACAACAGGTGGCACTGCTCCGAGAGCACCTAACTGAGTTCTTGTCCTCTTGGCCCCTTTGATACACTCAGTCTTCCTAGTCAACCTATGTGGGTCTTCAACAATTTTACAACTGGCCTTAAAGGGAGGAACAGGGCCTGTTGCAGACGAGGTTCCCTTTGGCTTAGTTATGATGCCAAGTGACCTGACCTCCCAAATACCCACAGCCTCACAGACCTGCATCTGAAAAGCGGGAAACTAAAAGACCGCCATGCTAGGGCTTTGTTGGCCCTGCTGCCTACAGAGCATGAGCGCTCAGACCCAGGGACGGCGCTGCAGCGGGGCAGCACATACAAGTCAAGAGCCAGGGCCAAAGGACTTCCCTGTCCCAGCTAGATGGGACAGCAGGCCAGCTCTACGAAGGGACACTTATACAGGATAGTGCGCTGTGCCCAGGACCCTGCTTGTCTTATATGGCACAAGATCCCTTTCTGTTCACGCAGGGCAGAGCATTCTGGCTTTCAGATCTCCCCTAACACATAAAGGACCAGGACAGTCAGCACAGCCAGGCAGAGTGGGCCTGCTGGAACCGTGCTGGGGACTTGGGCTGACACCCAGACTATTTCTGTCTTGGATGGAAGGCAAGGAAGGCAGGGTTACTTGGTGAGACACGCTTGAGTTCTCTGGCTGCTGGTCGCTCCAGGCATTATGCCAGGGCACGCTGTTCTGATCATGAAGGGCACCTGGTCCCGAGGAAATCCTCTAGCACGGCAGAGTCACAAGCTCAGTGAGCTCCACTTATCTGGATCACGCAAGGGCTGGCGAGCTGACCGCCGATATGTGGCAGTAAAGAATTTCTGGAATGCAAGTGATTGAGTTTGCTTGACTTACAAGGAAGCAGAGAAACAGGAAGACGGTGAGGGACAGGTATGCAACCGAGAACAAGAGGTGACATTAACTCCCATGGAAACTACGCACCTCCATACTCTAGCGTCTCATTAGCAATGAGACGCGCACAATGAACGACACCGCCTGCAGTAGGGGCCTCTTGGTGCGTCTAGCCTTGTTCTCGCCTACTACAGGCCACAGTGCATTTGGAGGCATCCCTAAGGCAAGAAGCCCCACGAGAAACAGCTCTAGAGCATGGCAGCCTCGGGCAGCGCATCTACAGGTTCTCCCAAACAGCTCTGTTGCACCCAGTGAGGTGTGGAGACTGGGGGGGAGGGTCTGTTTAGAAAGAGCTCTGCTAGTCCAAGACTGTAAATCACATTCCCATTAGCTCAAAGCACAGAAGGTCTGTAATGATGTTGTGAGCAGCCAGTGAAAGTTTTGTTTTCTATTGTAAAAAGGGATTAGTGTAGCTTTGAGATTAATACTGTCCAGCTCATAGGAGATTGGCTAATATATGGTGAAGTTGGTCTGTAAGGAAAAAGCTCTATAAGAAAAAAGACCATGCTGATGAGGATTGGGCTCCTCTCAGTGTACTTTTTAGCTTCAGGTCGTGGCCTCTGGTCTCCTCGTGGGCTCCCCTCAAGAGGCTGGAAGAAGCCTACCTCCAAGGATCGGATAAAGGAGTTCTGAGGAGGTGCTGGGTAAGGTGGTATAGCAGGTGCCTGCTAGAGCTTCTCTAAGTGTTCTGGAAATCTGCTAACTCTAGGAGGTAGTCAGAACTACAAATGTGTGGTGGGTGACGTCATACTGTCACGGAGCTGAGGCGGTGCTTGGGCACTTGCAGGAGTTGGGTGTTGGGGAACAGAGTCCAGCGCTATCTGGCCGATTCTACTTCCTGTAAGACTCCAGGGTTCTACCCAATACGTCTTCTCTGGCCTCTGGCAATCTCAATCATGGGAGGTTAGGAGGACAATGCCTCTGGGTTGGAGTCCCAAGTCTGGTTTTCCTTTTTCTGGATCTGGTTTTCCCACAGCTCTCAGGGATGTGAGGAGGATAGAATGAGAATCAGGAAACCCAGAGCCTGGCAGGTGAACTCCAAATCAGCACATGGCTTATGTTGCCCCTTAAATGTCCACAGCTGCTATTTTTTTGTCTCATGCAACAGTGAAGGAGATGGGACCCAGGGAAATGGAGGAACTTGCTCAGAGCCACGCTGGCCATGATGCCCACAGATGCTGTGCTGGCACCTTGTTCACCAAAGGTGCTGTGCTATGTGCTAGGTACAAATAAAGCGCATTTCCTAAATGGATTAGGCAATCTGGGAGTTTACCAACAGCTGGAAGAAGTCAGTTCAGGCAAGAGCTGGCCTTTTGTCCCACTGTCCCCTGGCAGGATGACACTGTAGTTTGCTCTGTTAGAGAGCTGAAAATATTTGCATGTCTAAATTCTTAGCAGCTAT